CCAAGTAGCTGGGACTACAGGCGCCCACCACAACGCCTGGCCATTTTTTTGGTTGCAGCCATCATTGTTGTTTGGCAGGCCCGGGCTGGGGATTTGAACCCACCACCTTAGGTGTATGTGGCTGGCGCCTTAGCCACTTGAGCCACAGGCGCCAAGCCAGCACCAAAATACTTTTAAAAAGATTTCTTGGCTCTCCTACAAAATTGTAATCATTTTTAGAAGAGGGATGGGTAGTGGATGGGTAAAAAAAATCATCCAATGGAGACTTAAATAACTGATTATAAAAGCTTTTTATAAACCACACAAACAACAATAAATGAATTCCATAGATACAAATCAGGCAAAGAAAAATAAAAACCAATGGGAGGGAGATTACACAGGTCTCAAGGGTCTATTGTTCAATGGAGGTCAGTGGCCTTAAGGAATTGAGATGTGAGAGATATGCATTAAGCTTGGGAAAAACACACCTGTGAAATCAGAAAAAAAAAAAAAAAAAAAAACAAGTGAAAGTGCTCACAGCCTCAGAGCTCCTGCTGGTTCAGGTCAGAGAAAATTTGAGAGAGAGAGATCTCTAAAAAGATGATGGCTATAAGGGGATGGGTGAAAAGTCTAGTTCAAATATTCTCTAGGGAAAGGAAGGAGCAAAATCATAGTAAGTTAAAATCTGGTACCCTAATGTAGTAATTTAAGGGCTGTGAAGATAATTAAGAAATCTTCCATCAGGGAACTGTAGCAGGGAGGAGACACCCAAGTGCATCCTGCTTCATCTTCTGTTGCTTTAGGACTTTTCTGGAGTTAGTAGCTGAGGAGAAGACCCTGAACACCCTTCATCTGGGGGAGAGAGGAAAACCCACATGCTTTTTAGCTATGGCTTGGCAACTTAGTTCCCATGGAATCAGTCAGGGCTCTGGGCCCTAGACAGGTGGCCTCAGGTAGGAGGAGATCGGGAGCGGATAGGGGAGCTGGTCAGGTAGGTAGCATAGGGACTATCCCCAAACACATTGGCATATGACGACTTGAGGAACTGGACATAGTTCTGCATGCTGCGATTGGTGCTCTCCGACTGCTCCAGGCGATCTTTCAGGTCCTGTAGTCGACTCTGGTAGCGGCGGTCAGCCTATGAGAGGAAACAGTGGGGACTGAGTGTGTGGCACGTCCAGAACTGGCAAATCCATAGTGACATGGGGACATCATTAGAGGTTGCCAGGGGCTAATGGGGAGAGGATTGGAGAGTGACTGCTAATGAGTAAGGGATTTCTTTTACAAAATATTCTAAAGTTAGATTATGCTGAGAATTGCATAACTCTGAATAAATATACTAAAAACCATTAAATTATATAATTAAAATGAGTAAATTTTATGGAATTTTAAGTGGATCTGGCTGGGTGCGATGGCTCACATTTATAATTCCACCAGCACTTTGGGAGGCTAAGAAGAGAAGATCAGGCTGGGCGCAGGCTCACGCCTATAATCCTAACACTCTAGGCCAAGGCAGGTGGATTGCCTGAGCTCACAGGTTCAAGACCAGCCTGAGCCAGAGTGAGACCTCTTCTCTAAAAATAGCCAGGCATGGGCAGCGCCTGTGGCTCAATGGGTAGGGTGCTGGTCCATATACCGAAGGTGGCAGGTTCAAACCCAGCCCTGGCCAAACTGCAACAAAAAATAGCCAGGTGTTAGGTGGTACCTGTGGTTCAAAGGAGTGGGGCGCCGGCGCCGGCCCCATATGCTGGAGGCGGTGGGTTCAAGCCCAGCCCCAGCCAAAAGCTGCAAAATAAAATAAAATAGAATAGAGAAGCATTTCTCACATTTAAAAAATAGCTGGTGGGCGCCTATAGTCCCAGCTACTTGGGAGGCTGAGGCAAGAGATCGCTTAATCCCAGGAGTTGGAGGTTTCTGTGAGCTGTGTGATGCCACGGCACTCTACCGAGGGTGATAAAGTAAGACTCTGTCTCTACCAAAAAAAAAAATAGCCAGGCGTTGTGGTGAGGGCCTGCAGTCCCAGGTACTTGTGATGCTGAGACAAGAGAATCACTTGAGTCTAAGAGTTTGAGGTTGCTGTGAGCTGTGACACCATAGCACTCTACCAAGGGCAAGAAAGTAAGACTCTGTCTCAAAAAAAAAAAAGGAAGATCACTTGAACCCAGGAGTTTGAGAGTTCCCTGGCAACATAGTGAGAGGTTGTCTTTAGAAAAAAATTTTAAAAGTACTTATTTGAGTGTGGTGCCAGCTACTTGGGAGGCTCAGAGGATCCCCAAAAAAACTATCTACCTAGGATATACTTAAGGAAAGAGAAAGTGATTGGAGAAAAAAAAAAGAATGTCATATTCATAAAAGCAACAACAAAATATCTTGCCCTGCAGGCACCAGGGAAGCTAAAATATTCATCTGTTCCCCTCTCCCAGACCCTCATCCACCAGCCGGACTCACATCCTCACGGCTCCGCCGCAGCTGGCTGAGTTCAGTCTTGGTTCTGCTCAGCTGGGTCTCAAGGTCCAGGATTTTGTTTTGGGCTGCTCGCTCCTTGGAGAGTGCATGCTCCTTGGTTTGTTCCACCTGCACACAAGGCACAGAGGTAGAGCTGGTGCATCTGACATGGGGCACATCTAGTAAAGAGAAGCCTGGGCCTCTCCCACTATCTATTCTCACCTGCACAGGTGCTAGAAAGAGTTCTCTGGAGCCTCTGGGCAGAAGCTAATTATGGAAACTATGTCTGCAACCCAGTTTTGCCTGCCCTATCCCAATGCTCCACAAGTCTCCATCTGAGTCCCAATAGGGCAGCTATTAAATGAGCAAACGTCATGGTTCAAATGAGCCCTAAAGAATTACTCATTTGATCCTTACAACAAAGGCAGGATGAGGCAGGTACTATTATAAATACTCATTTTTCAGATGAGGAAATAGGCCCAGAGAGGTTAGGTGATTTTCCCAAAGTCACAGAGCTAGTGGGTAATGGAACTGAGACTGACCTGCCTCCTAGCATCTTCAATGGCAGTCTCCAACTGCCTTGCCAGGCTCCCACATTCCCGTGTTTTCTCCTCCAGCCGCAGCTGGGACTGGTGGATTGCCTCCTCCCTCTTGGCAATCACCTGTAGGAACTCGATATTCTGGGCACTGGTCGCTTCCAGTTTCCTAGGTGAAAGCACTCAGTCAGATCCTGCATTTACCCCACCTGTCTTCTTCCCCCCACCAGGGGGCTTCCAGCCACCCCTGGAATGGGGATCTCATCACGCCAAGTTATCTCCAAGGAGCCACAGGAATAAACCAAAGGTATCTGCAGATCAGCAAGGCAGCCAAAGAACTGTACAACTGGAGCGGCTGGTTAGAGAACAGTGTGAAGAGTGGGAAGGGCAAACATAGACTGGCTGTGGCTGTGTTAAGTGTGCATGTCACCATATGGAACACAGTGGCTTGCAGCTCGGGAAGGTGTATGTTATTATCCCCATTTCTGAGATGAAGAAACTGAGCCTCAGAAAGGGCAAGTCATTGGCCTTGATTTGGCCAATGAAAAGGTCAATGACTTGCCCCTAGGTCAGTATAGCTGGCAAGTAGTCTGTCACCAAAACCCATGCCCTCAACTTCTGTTCACTGCTGTCTCCCTCATCAAAGGGATCTCAGCTGCGGTGCTCAGCAGCTATGTGACCAGCTATGGCCATCCTGATGCACAAACACTATCCCTACTGCACATCCAGGGTGCCTTCCAATTTAAAGAGCTCTGCAAGTCCTGCAGAATCTGGCCGAAGTTTCAAGGCCAGCAGGCAGAGCAGAGGTGGCGCCTAGGAGATCACCTGGTTACAGCCTCCGTGCAACCTGCATTAGCCATCTGGGGAACTTAAGAGTCTCTGGGCCTTAAATCCCTCACTACTGAAACCCAGGCTACAACCAGGGTCTTGTAATTTACAGATGGTAATGCAAGCTTTGAAGGAAGACCATCAGGGGTCAAAGTCACAGCTTTGCCAGGTACCAGCAGTGCAACCTTGTACAAGTCACTTAACCTCTCTCCAGCTCAGTTTCTTCCTATTTAAAATTGGGATAATGCCAGTTAACTACATATGTGGTTACTGCTATATAACTATAATATAGCTAAACTATACTGGACATTTCTATATGCTAAGTAATGTGCTAGGACTGAAAATTCACGGTAACCCTATAAACTGAATCATTATCCCTATCATCATCCTTTTCTCAAGATGAGGAAAGTTTTGTTATTTTCTTTTTTAAGACAGTTTCACTCTGGTACCCTGACTAGAGTGCTGTGTCATTATAATTCACAGTAACCTCAAGTTCTTGGGCTCAAGTGATCCTCTTGCCTCAGTTTTTTTTTTTTCTTTTTTTTTTTGTGTGCGAGACAGAGTCTTAAGCTATTGCCCTCGGTAGAGTGATCCTCTTGCCTCAGTTTTTTTTTTCCTTTTTTTGTGTGTGGGATAGAGTCTTAAGCTATTGCCCTGGGTAGAGTGCCATGGCATCACAGCTGAGTCTCAGACTCTTGGGCTTAAGCGATTCTCTTGCTTCGGCCTTCTAAGTAACTAGGACTACATGTGCCCACCACAATGCCCAGGTATTTCTTTTTTTGTTTGTTTTGGGTTGTAGTTGTCATTGTTGTTTGGCAGGCCTGGGCTGGATTCAAACCCACCAGCTCTGGGGTATGCGGCTGGTGCCCTAGTCACTGAGCTACAGACGGCAAGCCCTCAGTTTTTCTGTTTTTAGAAGAGACAGGGATCTCACTATTGCTCAGACTGGGCTCAGACTGCTCTCAAACTGCTAAGCTCAACTTACCCACCCACTTTGGCCTCTCAGAGTGCTAGGCGTGAGCAACTGTGCCTGGCCAAATGAGGAAAGTTTAGTTAGAGGACACAAAATTATAGCTAGATAGGAGCAATCAGTTCCAGTGTTCCAGGCTACTGTGGGATGACGGTAGCTAACAATAACACTACATATGTAGTTTCAAATAGCTGGAAGGATATTCAATGTGCTCAACACAAAGAAATGATAAACCTTTGAGATGATGGATATGCTAATTACCCTGATCTATATGTACTAAAATATTACTAGGTACCCCATGAATATGTACAATTATTATCTGTCAATTTTTTTTTTTTTTTTGAGACAGAACCTCAAGCTGTTGCCCTGGGTAGAGTGCCATGACATCACAGCTCACAGCAACCTCCAATTCCTGGGCTTAAGCGATTTTCCTGCCTCAGCCTCCCAAGTAGCTGAGACTGTAAGTCACCCGCCACAAAACCTGGCTATTTTTTGGTTGTAGTTGTCATTGTTGTTTGGCAGGCCTGGGCTGGATTCAAACCCGTCAGCTCTGGTGTATGTGGCTAGCACCTCACCCGCTTGAGCTACAGGTCTCAAGCCCATTATGTGTCAATTTTAAAAATAATTTTTTTTTTTTTAGAGACAGTCTCACTTTGTCGCCCTTAGTAGTGTGCCGTGGAGTTACAGCTCACAGCAACCTCTAACTCCTGGGCTCAGGCTATTCTCTTGCCTCAGCCTCCCGAGTAGCTGGGACTTCAGGTGCCTGCCACAATGCCCGGCTATTTTTTTTCTTGCAGTTTGGCTGGGGCTGGGTTTGAACCTGCCACCCTCAGTATATGGGGCCAGCACCCTACTCACTGAGCCACAGGTGCTGCCCTAAAAATAATTTTTTTAAGCAAAGAAACTGAAGTTACATAATTTGCTCAAGATCACAATGCAGGTTAAATGGCAGAGCTGGGCCCCAAGGCCATGGCTTCTGATTCCAAAACCTGTTCTCTTCACCTCTGACTGCCTTGAGGCCCATCAAGAACAGAGAAGAGTCAGATCAGAAATGTTTTAGGAAGGATGATTGGGAATAAAGGGCAGAAAGAAGGGGAAATGCTCCCCACGGTGGTGAACTGGCTGCTCCATTCAAACCACTCCCCGGCTTGCTTGGGACAAGCGTGCCTTGTTATATGTGGGACTCACAGGTGGTATGATCGCATTCACGCTGTTACAGAGCATCCCTCAGGCTGAGCGTCCGCCTTCCTCTCCCCTACAAATGCTTACCCCTGAAATGGAAGCAGCTTTTCCTCTGAGTTCTGCCTAGTACCTTCCAGGGCCTTGAGTCCCTCAAACACTTCCGCACACTAAGCACAAAGCAGCTAAGTGGCTGAAAGTCTCAGGTCCTAGGAAGAGGACAGAGATGGGACCAAGTGCCTCTAACCTCTCCAGTTCATCCACCTTCAGACTCAGCTGCTTATTTTCCTTCTGGGAAGCCTGATGTTTCTCTCTCGCCATCTCCAGCTTGTCCCCCTGATGTTCGATCTAAAATGACAGGAACACAGACTGGTTTATGAAGGAATTTCCAGGTACAGCCCTCCACTTTTCCCTATGACCTGCCTTCCACACCCGGGAAAGGGGCACACAGCCCTCAGCAGGCGTCCGAGTCTCAATGCACAACCTGGAGGAGAGAGGACAGCAGAACAGGTTAGGCCCAACTCCAAGGCTTTCCCACACCAGAAGCAGCCAGGTTTTTGATGCAGAAGAACCGCAATGATGCTTTCTTGATCAGGAGAAGCTACTCTGTGGCTCAGCCGGGATCCAGGGCAGACATGAGAAGGCAGAAGCAGATGCAGACTTAATCAGCCCCACGACAGACCGCAGAGCTTTACCAGTTATTTTGCTGGGACCACTGATTTCATCCTCCCCTTAAGTGGGGACAAGTGCAGGCAAGGCAAAGGAAATCTATCAATTCTTTTAGGCTGACAAGTTTGAGAAGTTACCCAGAGGGCTGCTTTAAGCAGAAGCCTCGGATATTAGGGCTCAAAAGGCGCTGAGAAGGCTCAGGCTCAATAGAAAGCAGGCAATTTAGTGGGAACGTGGCCTGGAAACCAGAACTGGCTGGGTTCCAAACCCTGTTCAGTAAGTGTTAGCTCTGTGACAGGAGCGAGTTACTTACCCGCTCTGTGCCATGGGCTGCTTTCTGGGAAATGGAGAAAATAACGCACCACACAAAGTTCCCCAGGGAATATTAGAGCAGAGTAGGATCTGCCTTGGGCAGGTCGATAGAGGGGAAGGGCCTTGCCCAATGTCACACTGCAGATGAGTGTCATGTGATTTCACAGACACCATAGGTAATAGGCAGATTGCTTCTGCAAGAAAAGGACTGCTTGCTTCTGTCCTTTAGGACAGAATCTCAGGCAATGAATACCTAAAACAGAGAAAGACGGAAAAAAAAAAATCCTACAGCTTGGTGACTGCTGGCATCTCATGTCTGTGGGTAAGGGGCTGAGGGCAGCAACACAGGTGGAGAGGCAGGAAGGGACAGCACTCTGAGGGTAGGGCAATAGCAGGAGGGCTTGCTGGCTCCAGACGAGTGACGGCTCCTATAACTACAATCACTTTGTGCAAACACGAAGCATTTGGCACACCAGACTTTTATTTCACAGCACTGATGATAGCTCACTCCTTTCAGAAAGCGGCAACCAAGAAAAAGGAAGTGGTCCTCCCTTGGGGAAAGCGCAGCTCATCTTGGTAAGCGGGCCCCTGCTCGGGTCAGTTCGTGGGACCCTTTCTGCCAGTCCCTTACCCGGCTGCGCAGGTCTGATATGATGGCTGTGAGATCGATGTTCTTCCTCTCGTAGCCCTGTAACTGGTCTTGGCACTCCGCCAGCTTTGCCTCCGTGATCTTGAGGATGTCAGGCAGCTGCTGCAGGTCTGCCAGCTGGGACTGGAACTGCCGACGTGCCTGGAGTGAGGAAGAAAGGCCCACCATTGATTGGGAAGGACCCCACTCTGGGAGGCCAGACGGAGACCTCTGTAGTTAGGGCAGGGCTGCCGGCAAGATTCTCCTCTCCCGCCACTGGGCGTGTGTCCAACTACTCTCTGAGGAGACACACTTGGGCCTAACTTGCCACTCATTTAGTCATCCATTAACAATAGAAACCACATCGTAAACACCAGGACCCAGACCTCGTGTGAAGGGCTCTCTGCAGTTGCTCATTTAATTCACCCAACAACCTATAAAATAGGTGCCGCTGTCCTCATATAAGGACACTAAGGGTCAAGGGAGCTAAGTTACTTGTCCAAGGTAATTCAGTTAAAAACTGGTAAAGCCAAGATTAAAGTCCAGTCTAACTCCAAAGCTCCTAAGAAGGCAACCACATGCAACAGATCATAGGGCAAGGTAAGAAGTATCTGGTCTTAGTCTATCCTGGAACTTAAAGAAGACTAGAGACTCGAGTCTCTAGGTTATAAAACAAGCAAGTGGCTCTGGCTGGACTTAATCGCTTCAAGGTGACCATGAAGGTGACCCGTCTGTTCTGATCAGTCAAATCATCTCTGGAAGAATGAAGCTATTTAGGACATAGATAAGAGGCATATTTTTGTTCGGGACAAAATAAAGACGCCACACAGAATGAAAAAGGTGTGCCAAAGACCTAACACACTTGTGCTGTGTGTCTACCTGAATGCTCAAAGCAAAAGGGATTTTTGTTTTTAAGGAAATTGAAGAGGTGAACAAAGAAAACCAGGAGGGACAAAAAGGACAAAGTAGCAGCACAAGAAAGAGAGGAAATAAGAGAGAGAAAGAACAAAGATGCATGGGGCAGAGTGGACAAGTCCACTGCCAAGACACTCAGTTCATCTTTACTGTCCAAGTCGGGTAGGGTCAAAAGCAAAGAAGGGGACAGACTCAATAGAGATCTGTCATATCTCAATAGAGATTTTAATACTTTTTTTTTTTTGGCAGTTTTTGGCCATGGCTGGGTTTGAACCCGCCACCTTCGGCATATGGGGTCAAAGCCCTACTCCTTTGAGCCACAGGAGCCACCCCAAGATTTTAATCCTTTTAAAATTAACTTTAACTTTAAAATTAACATCTTTGTTGTCCAAGTCAGGTAGGGTCAAAGGCAAAGAAGAGGGACAGACTCAAAAGAGATCTGTCAATCTCAATAGAGATTTTAATACTTTTAAAATTAACACTATGTTGTGATCTTCTCAAATCTTTTTTATTTTTATTTTTATTTATTTATTTATTTTTGAGACAGAGCCTCAAGCTATTCCCCTGGGTAGAGTGCTGTGCCATCACAGCTCACAGCAACCTCCAACTCCTGGGCTCAAGCGAGCCTCCTGCCTCAGCCTTCCAAATAGCTGGGACTATAGGCGCCCGCCACAATACCCGGCTATTTTTTGGTTGCAACTGTCATTGTTGTTTGGCGGGCCCAGGCTGGATTCGAACCCACCACCTTAGGTGTATGTGGCTGGTGCCTTAGCCACTTGAGCCACAGGCGTCGAGCCAAATCTCTTGAACTAAGTATCTGAATTGGGTAGGTGAAGGTGGCCAGAAAGGGGAGCAGTACCGCCTCAATCTCTTTGTTCATCTCATCTTTAAGGATCTTATTCTCTTTGTCGCAGCGTTCTAGTTGGGCAGCCACTTCATCAGCTTCCAATCTGGTCTTCATGACCTAGGAACAAAGAACATAATGGGCCATCTTGAGTAGAGCCACGTTTTGGTAAAAACCACCTTTGACACTCAAACCTTGCCTGGAGAGGCCTGATAGGGACCAATCCCACCTGATGGGAGCACCTGGGAGAATTACCTGACTCTTATAGTTGTCAATCATTCCCTCATAGTTCTTCACTGATACCTTCAGCTGCTGGACCTCGAGCTGTGCCTGGTTGAGCTTGTCCTCCATTGGGGCGAAGCTCGCCTGAAAGACATGGCTTATGAGTAACCAACAGGAAGATTCTGAACCAGGGGCCCTCTCACCCTCAACTCCATCCAAGGAACCAGCAAAGAAAAGGCTCCTGTCCTAAATCACACAGCAGTTTTTATCAGAGAGGCAAGGTGGGGGTGAAGTGTGTGGGTGGTGGTGGTGGTGGTGGTAGTAAGACTCCTAATGTGACCAACTCAAGTGAATAGATATGCACACATAAAATGACTTCTGTTTTCTTATTCCAAAAGCAATACATAATCACTAAAGAAAACGGTGATAAAACCAAGACACACGAACCATAATGCCTGATAACTTGGGATATGTGCCAGGCATGGTGGCTTGTATTTATAATCCCAGCACTTTGAGAAGCCAAGGTGGGAGGATCACTTGAACACAGGAGTTCAAGACCAAGCTGATCAACATAGTGATCAACATATTTTCTCTACAAAAATAGAAAAATTAGCCAAGTGTTAATGATAAACACTTATAGTCCCAACTACACAGGAGGCTGAGGCAGGAGGATTGCTTGAGCCCAGGAATTTCAGCTTGCAGTGAGCTATGATGACATCACTGCACTCTAGCCTGGGCAACTAAATAAGACCCTGTCTCAAAAGCAAACAAAAAGCTACATATCTATAGCTGTGTAGCTATTTTACTTTTGTCTACAAGAATGAGATTACAGTATACTTACTGCTTTGCAAAATACTTTTAAAATTAACAATATGTTGTGATCTTCTCAAATCAATGAATGTCCTCCTAGAACCTAAATACTCATCTTAGTTGGGACAATATAAATCAATGTTTTGTTTTGTTTTGTTTTTTTTGAGACAGAGCCTCAAGCTATCCCCCTGGGTAGAGTGCCATGGCATCACAGCTCACAGCAACCTCCAACTCCTGGGCTCAAGCGAGTCTCCTGCCTCAGCCTCCCAAGTAGCTGGGACCACAGGGCCACGATGCCCGGCTATTTTTTTGGTTGCAGCCATCAATGTTGTTTTTGGTGGGCCTAGGCTGGATTCGAACCCGCCACCTTAGGTGTATGTGGCTGGCATCTTAGCCACTTGAGCCACAGGCGCCGAGCCAAATCAATGTATTTTAATAGAACAAAATGAGAGGTACCCACTTACAAAGAGATAAAACTCAAAAAACTGGCCTGAAAAGATGTTCATGAAGTATAGTTAAATGAGAAAAGCAATCTTCAGAATAATATATGGATGAATCAGTGTGTGTGCCTGTATGGATGCTAATATTAGGAAAAAACCTGGAAAAATACAGCTAACAGATACCTTCTCTCTCTCTCTCTCTTTTTTTTTTTTTTTTTAAAAGAGAGAGGGTCTCTCTCTCTCTCTCTCTGTGGTCTAGGCTGGAGTACAGTGGCATGATCATAGCTCACGGCAGCCTCCAATTCCTAGGCTCAAGAGATCCTTCTGCCTCAACCTCCCAAAAAGCTGGGACTATAGGTGTTGAGTATAGGCTGTGAGGTGGCAGGGCCTCCACAGCCTGGGAGACATTCAGGGAACCACCTCCAGCTGCTTATCCTCCTAGAACAACATTCTTTTTTCCTTACTTCCTCAGCCACAAATCACGTAGTACCTGAATATTTTTCCCTTTTATCTTGCCAGCAAGCACGCAGCTTTTCCTCCCTAAAATTAATCTTTACCTCAGGTGCTAAGATTTACATCATTTAGCAACCTTGTATAGATACCACATAAACAAAGCTTATGGTCTGAGCTGCTCCAGTCCTCCTGACCCCATCTTTGTCTTTTGTGTTTTATTTCCTCATTCCCCATCATTCCCACTCAGCTTTGTTCTCCTTCTCCTTGCTGGTTCACAAAATACAGGCATATACCCAGCTAAGAGACCTTTGCTAATATCCTATTTCTGTTATGTCTTAAACTTGTATGATGTCTAAACTTTTTTTTCTTTTTTTGAGACAGAGTCTCACTATGTCACCCTCTGGTAGAGTGCCGTGGCATCACAGCTTACAGCAACCTCAAACTCTTGAGCTTAAGTGATTCTCTTGCCTCAGCCTCCCAAGTAGCTGAGACTATAGGCACCTGCCACAATGGCTAGCTATGTTTTTTGGTTGTTGGTGTCACTGGTTGTTTGGCAGGCCCGGGCTGGGTTCGAACCCACCAGCCCTCGTGCATGTGGCTGGTTCCCTAACCACTAAGCTGTAGGCGCCAAGCCTAAACTTCTATATTATTTAAGGAAGTATACACTTCTACAAACATCATTTTGATTGTATTACCCTACACAGACACACCATACTTTTTTTTTTT